GCGTACGAACCTGAGCTCGCGGCCAAGGAGAACGTCAACGGGCTCACGCCGGCAGACGTTGCCGAGCAGAAGTTGTTTGCCAAGGCTGCTAAGCCTCCGCATATTCCACAGCAGTCGAGCTCTCGCAACCTAGGCGCAGGCGCCGTCGGAAAGGAGCCGTGGACGTTTGTGCGCCAGACAGGGAAAGGAGTGCTGTTAGCGAACAGGCGGAGAATTTATGAGCGGTGCTGCTTAGGTGGAAGCGACGGGGACACAAGGAGGAGAAAGCTGGTGACGCTCTTCGAAGTGCGCGAGTTCGCTGCCGCGTCGCATGCGAGGTTCCAAAGGCGCAATCAGCGCCGGACGTGGTTGTCGCCAGAGATGGATGTGATTACCGAGTGGCTAGACCTGTAGACACTCTAAGTCTCAATTCATGGAACCCCACCGTGCATAATCTGCTGACTGATGCAGAAGATATTGGTCCTCATGAGGGGCTTCTCTGATAAGCTCTTCCATGGGCCCAAGGGCTTTTAAGTGCCTTAACAAACCTCCACAATAAGCGTGGCTGCGATGCATCCTGCTCGCTGAACAGCTCCCAGTGAAGCCGAACGTTAGCGCGATCACTAATTTGCGAAACTCGCATCTGGTTAGGGTACCAGTGACCTGAGAATATTACAGCCAAAGATTCTCTCGGGGCCAGGGATCCCCCACTTCGGCTCGAAATCCGAGAAAATCGGACTGTTCCCGAAAACGCCCCAAGAAAGTCGCCTTCATACACTGAGATGGGGGGGACGCACAGCAAGGAGTTGTTCATTATCTCTGTGTGCAAGAAGCATGAAGATTGACTTGTCTCTTTCGTCTTGCAAGTGACCGGCCACCGAATGCAATACCCAGGTTGTCGGGCGGGACCGCTATAGCCCCATTCGCCAGCGCGAAGCTAGATTCCTCATCAGCGGAGGACCATGCATTGTTGGCATCATTCCATGATTGTGCTGGAACGGCGAGTCTTGCAGCGACGGGTGGAATTCGCAAGCATGATCTGCGCGCAATATCACCTTTATAAACGAGCGGCGCGCTGGCCTTGGGAAGTAGGAAAATCCGGGTTAATGCTGATAATGAGGTGCCTATTCCCTTCTCTTCTTTTGGGAGCAAATTATGTGTCTTTGTGTCTAACAAGAAAAGAACAGCCGATATTGACGTTGATAACAGTGGCCAGCTGGGATGCTGCGTAAAAGCGGAAGTGGGGACTGTCTCACGAAGCGTAGACTTTTGTAGCGGTCATCTTGGCTTAGGTCGTTAATCTCGAAGGAATGATACCCTTCACTTTCTCTGCTATGGGGCGGAAGGCTTAAGGTATCCTGAAAATGGCATAGAATAAGGATGAAACTCCCAGCACATGGACAAAGTTGAAACTTTAGATGTGGAGAGTGTACTTTGCACGTAGCCCAGGGCAGGGAGTGACAAGTACCCAACGTCCCACCATCAGCCAGTTCTTATGGTTTGCTCAAACCGAGCAGATATTTCGAACTTTGGGCTACAATAAACTGGGATTCCCGGTCCGGAACACTGTGGTATAGAATGTGTCAGTATCTGAGGTTTGATCCACAGCCAAGTATGGGACTACCTGATTCGGGCGCTCCGCGCTAAGGCGAATCGCCACCAGTTGTGCAAATCATGTTAAGAGTTGCATGGTATTCGCCAAAAATAAGAGCCTCAGGGACCAGGCCGCGGCGCCCACGGTGAGCTGCGGCGATAACCTTGTGCTGAAGAAGTAGGGAGTAGTGAATCCTCGGCTATAGGAAGGGATTGCGGGAGGGGATCAATGTTGGCCCCAGAGACGGTCGGTACACAAATTGAGGAGGGGGAGCGCTCGAGTTGAAAATAATTATAGATCTCACGAACCCTACGACCATCAATATGGCCCTGGTTTCTTGATTGTGTCGATGCCATGGTCCCCAAAAAGCGGAAGAGAAAAACTGGCAATGCGGTATTGGTTGTATTGCAAGGGATCAAGAAGAATAGTCAAGAAATAGGTTAACTTTCTGGAAATTAGCCCGGGACAATGCTACCAAACGGTGGCAACGACTCGTCATCACATATAATTGGCGGAACTTCCGCCAGCCGATAGTCCAGGGCAATTAGTCGAGGCCGCCATCTCCGCGGCTTATGATACCAGGCCTTCCCCCCTGTTCAAACATCTGTCCACCTTTTCGTTTTGTACACCATTTGATTGCTAGTATAATCGATGATGTTGGTTGGTTACGTAAAGATCTCATATCCTGAAAACTCAACCACAGACAAGGATCTTCTACAAGAGCCCGTAGACTTCTGAGCCACCAATGGTATTGGATGGTCTCGAAGCTCGGCCGCCAGATGTAGCAACAAGGATGGAGTGCAATGCAGAGTCGAATAGAAGTCTATGATGCCTTAAGCCAGCTGCGTAGGCTCAAGAGCTATATCTAATAAATTGGTGGAAATAACGGTTCCAACGGCGGCTGTGGAGTCCTTTTCGCACGAGAGTCGCGCAAGCAAGTCGTGGACAAGAATACGGCCGACATGAATACTTTCGAGTTCAAGACTGTTAGGCCACACATATCATAAATTATGTTATGTACTTTCCAAAGAGATTGGCTGTTTGGTGCGCAGCGAAGCTACGCAACGGCGGCTTAGCCTAGGGGCGGCCCTTGCCCAGCTATTGGCAGCTATGAGTGGTCGTGTGTACGGGCGTTTATGGCGTTTATGGCGTTTTCCAGGGGGCGAGGGATGCGTCGCAGGAATGTTCAATATGAATGGTATTTAGATTTACTTTATCTTCTGTACATAGACTATGAATAAATTAGACTCTCTTTCTAACACATCTCGGACGTCTGGGGAGCACCACCCGCCCAACATTCAAGCGATTACTTTCGTCTATAATAGAAATAACTAATCTCCTTGACAGCCGCACGCTGTCCCGCTTCCCTCGCCCGCTCCTCGATGGGCAGGATGTACCTGCGGAAGATCGCCAGATTACCCCCCAACTTCGTAAGCGCATGCTCCAGAAGCATCTCGAGTATCTCCCTGTTCTCGATCGAGCAGGCAACGTCCCACGCATTCATTCCCTGAGCACCTCGCCAGTCCACATCTGCACCCTGTTTTAGAAGCAGGTAGATGGCTTCGAGACGAAAGCGTGGGATCGCCGCATGCAGAGCGTGTGTCAATGCCAGTTGGTACTCCATGTCTACTTGCTTGTTTGTATGGGACTGTGACTGTGACGAGAACCACGACGACAATGCAGCCACCAAAACCTCGAGCATCCGCACCAGCTTCTCACCGGAAAGTGCATCGATGGCAACGGCAAGCAAGTGCAATGCGTTACGTGCAAGAACGGCACTGAACCCGTGCTCCGCTGTTGAAAGGCAATACCCCGCCGTCCCAACGTCTCCACGACGGATGATGATCTCCAGGGGCGCCGCGTGCCCGGGGACCGTCGGGTCCGGCCTCATGCCATACTCGTCGTGGAGCAAATCCAATGCCGCGGGGCCGCCGCTTGCCGCCGCCTTTAACAGGGTTGTACTTGTCGTGCTCGTATTGCGATTATCCTGATGGTCGCTGCACGCTTCAACCAGCGTAATGCCCCGAGCAGCGAGCTGCCGAACGAGCGCAATGTTTCCGGCTGACAGGGCGGCGCGAGCGACGGCGGGTGTGGGTGTTGCCCCGTAGTCGAGCAGCAATTGCGCGATGTCAGTCTCGGCCCCGGGCTGGGGCTGCTGTTTCTTCTCCGCGGCGACCTGTAGGATCGTCGTGCCGGCGCGATTTATCGGGATATTTGGTGGTGCTCCGGCCTCGAGTAGGATACGAACAATCGCCGCGTGGCCCTGTTCTACGGCACGAGCTAACGGCTGGCCTTTGTCAAAGGCGCAGAAGCCGACATCCTCGGCGCCGTGGTCGCGGTCGCGGTTGCGCGGCTTCTCCGTACATGACTTCGCGCCGTGCCGCAGGAACAGCCTCACGAGCTCAATACGGCCCCTGTCCGCGCCAATTCGTAGCAAAGTCCACCTCGGCAAGAAAATGTTCGCGCGCGGTGGACGGCGGTTGACGTCGTAGCCCGTGTCGAGGATCCGCTGCGCCAGCCCCGTGTAGCCGAGCATGGCCGACACCCCCAGGAGAGTCAAGCAACCAGCGTCTGCGGATGCGGATGCGTATGCGTTTGCATTTGCAATTGCGCCATCGGCGCCTTGGCCCCGAATGATACTCTCCACATCGATCCTGTCTAAGAGGTACTCCGCCACCGCGCCGTAGCCGCCTTCGGCTGCGCAGAGTAGCGGGAAGAGCGCGGTGCCCTTGACAAAGGGCGGAACAAGAAGGGCGCCCGCTTCAACAAGCACGGCCACAACCTCAGGCAGCCCATTGCTCGCAGTAAGACAAAGCGGCGTCCCGTTGTGCGGGTCCGGCGCCTCGAGATGCGCGCCCGCATCGATCAGGACCCGAATATTCTCGACTCTCATAACTTTTTTATCGTCCATCCAATTCGTGGCTGTTTTCTCAACGAGACCACCAGGTCATCGGAATCGCTTTACATAACGTGTGAGCTGATCCATTTCTACGGGCTGCTCTCGCCCGGGTTTTCCGCTGCAGCTCTGGCAAGCAGAAACCACCGAGCAGCTGTCCTTCATTCCACCAGCGTGAACCGATCTCCCTAGACACGCTCGTCGTGTGGCTGCTTGCAAACGTCCCTTGTCCTTGGTCAATTGGTCTCATTCTGTTTCCCACATTGACCAGGCGTCGTAGCACCTTCTGCCCCGACCCATGACCAGCAAAGAATCCATGCAGCCCTGTTGTTGGTTATTCGGCAGGTGATATAGTTATCTAATGTGTAGGGGGAGTAGGTAAACATGGAAATAGCCCGGGCAAAGCAGAGGACCCGCCGATCGTGGCTTCCACCATGTCTGATTTTCCTGGACTTTGAGATAGTGCCACTAATCCGTTTTGGGAGGCTCACGTTTGGCGCCATCTCAGAACTCGAACGCGTCAAAACAAAAATTAAAGCTTTGGATTCGACCATAATTCCACGGTGCAGGAACAACGAAGCTTATTATGCCCGTCCAGAAGTTTCTGCTCGTCCTCTAGATTTACTACGCAATAATGCGATATAATATCTTCAAGAAGAGGCGGTGACGTGTCGAAGTACCCCCTGTCGTGTATGGAAGCAAGATATATATCTTCAACGAGTATTATTATCGTCACGGCTGACTAGCAGCGTGCTACACCCTTCCCCTCAATTCAATGTCCAGAGACCGAGTTTAAATCTCATCGACTTGCATATTGATTCTAATTTAGTTATCTACAATACTCCGTAAAGTCGGATGACTTCGCTTGGCCGGTCAATCGGGCAATGCAGGTGGGTGTATTTCGTAGTTATTCGCAGGGGAAGATGAGAGACGGAAATAATCGGCATCTGAATGCGCATCCCGCGCTCCGAATGTAAAGTCTCGCGTGTGAGACTCTTAACAGGCTGGTCAGACTCGATCTCCCATCAGCGACGTATCCGAAGCTTGGACTCCCATAGCTCTGCACGCGAAGGGAGTCCCCATATGCACGAGTCAACAGCCCAGGGAGCTATCCGACAGGCGTTTGCATACATTCTGTGATGGTTGCTGCTGCCCTTCACTCTCACCTGATCGGTTATGTGGTTCGTGTCCCTGCCAGGCGGGATGATCATTATGTAAGATGGCCTTCCATGTGACTGGCTCGTGCGGCGTCCACATTCACTTCGCCCCGACGCGTTCCAACGGGCAATCCTTCGCGTCACTGACCAGGCATGTCATCGCACATTTTCGTTCAACGTTCGGAACCCTCAAGATGAGGTCGTCTATTATGTGAATATTCCCTTCAATATCCCCCGAACCCCGTCTCCCTTCGCCCGACTCGTCCGCAGATTAAACTGATGCATGTCCTCAAACGAGGCAGAGCAAAGCCGGGGAGCAAAGGATGCTGTCCAAGGGACTCAGACCGCCGGACGGCCAGGAAGGAGCCTAACGTCGGTGGACCGCGTTTGACCAGAGCTCCTTCAACTTCAAACACCTTTCAATATTGCCCTGGTTAGCGAATGAGGATGACCGTTTGCACTCAGACATGGGTAACCACTATCTTGATCGTCCCTCATAAAATGACCTCCAGTCGACAGTCTGGACCGTTGGTTGCATCCACTCTCACACCGCAATCGCAACATGAAGTGGCGAGACGGGATTTGGTTATGGGTCTTGTGCAAGCTTGGAGTGCACGCTCCCCTGGCCGCGAGGTATATGCCCGCTTTCTGGAACAGAGTTCAGAGCACTCGCTGACAGCCAGCCTAACCTGCCCAGCGTCCCAGACCAAGATGGCCGTATCAACCACAGACGCGTCACATACGTTCCACGGGTCCCTGATTCCAGGGTCGGCTTGGCCCAATCCCGGTGCCGCCGAGGCGCTAGTGCACCGGTCTCGTCGGCTGCACCGTCTGGCCGGTTACGATGCCAACGTTGCGGTGGCATGCGTTCGCGGACCTTCCGCGATCCAATAGCGTATCCTGCGATAGGAGTCTGTGCTCGCCGTCGGACGGCCTGCGCAAATACGAAGATGTTGAAGGAGCGGAGTCCTGTGGACGGTGGTACTATGGACCGTTCGGTTGCGGAATTACCGGGCTGGGGGCGTGCTTTGGACCCGAAGTGACCGTTGTCGCGCGAGAAATCGATGTCGATTATGTTGGCATTAGTACGTCCGTAGGATCAAGACATGTAGGGGAAATGTGGTAAAGTAATCAAACTTGGACGGGTGCTCGTCAAACAAGGGGCCGTTGGGACATCGGTCATCGGGAGTGACCGCGGCCTTCCGCTATTCTGGAGGCGACCCATTGGACGTGGTTTCTGGATGGTCCCGTAGTGTCGGCCACCGTTGTGTCAGTGTTCGACCACTGATGACACGGCTCAACGTCAAGATCCAGGAGCCGGAGGTCATCGCTCAAGTTGGGCTGAACGATCGCCTTGACCTGGTTGCGGATCGACTGTCTAGCACAAACTGGAGACAGTGATGTCGTTAGCATGGCTTCATCAGACGCATCTGCCTTTCCCCGGCCTCGAAGAGGGTTCATACCGCCTACCAACATACTCCCCCGACGCGTATTCAGGTATGTCCTTATCGTCTCTGCCACATCTACAGACCCTTTCATGAATCGAACCCTCGTGCCGGGGTTCCGCGAGGGCTCATTCTTGCGGTTTCGATGGTAGTAAAGGTCGAATCGGAGGATCTATCACGGTCAGCCTATGGATCGCGGGTTGGTCGGCGGTCGTGGTACCTTGAATTCTTGGCGATCGAGGTCCAGCAAATGCTGCATGTTCACCCACCGACGGTTGTCTAGACCGTGTTAGCTCAGCCCACCGTTCGGGGAGACAGGATGCGGTGCTGCAACGCGTGGTACCTAAGTCCTCCATTTGCCAGACCACGATGAGCTTCCGTACCATAGCGCGGTGCTGTTCGCTCGCCAGGACCAGGGTCTGGATGAGCGAAAAGACCCGCGCAATCCCAATATCCTCTACGATCAGTAGCACGATCCCGACGGGGGCCAGATCCGGCGGTCGCCCGTACGGTCCCAGCACGAGCGCGCTGTGTGGAATATTGTGGAGATGCTTCGCATTATAGAGCGCCGCCGCCAGTGCCGAAGACTGCGGGCGGGCCAGCACACGTAGCGTTCGGTGACTCATCGCAGTATTCCAGGAGGTCCGCCCTCTCGATCCATGCCGTTGGCTGACAGTGGGCACGGCTGCATCGCGTTCTGCCGCTGTCCCCACCTGTCTCCATTCCACCCCTTGTTCGGCAGTCGATGACCTTGCGTCGTTGGGCCCCGGCGTATCTTCCCAAGACGAGACATAGAACAGCGGCAGTTGACTAGCAGTTCGCAGGCCCGCCTGTGGCAGCCAGAGGTACACATATTGGCCGGGCTCGACTCTCCACGCAGAGGGGACAGCGATGTCCATACGGAGAAGCTCATGGTGTTGGGATACGACAACAGAAGGCCAGGCGTTGCCCCAGCGTCTCCGTAGGGGAACAGCCAAGGACACCAGACTCAGGAACATCCACAGAGCTGCTGCCGCCACCAACCACCAGAGGCTTTTAGACCGGCGCATCCAGACATGGTAGGACATCGACGCCAGTCCGGTTACTGCCAAAAGGTAGTGACACTTCATCGCCAGCTGCGGGTAGCGGCGAATCACGGCATGCAGCGTCACGGGAACGATCAAGATCATCGAACACGCTGCCTGTTTCTGTTAGCGGACGACCGATATTCGGGGAAACTGGCCACGGAATCCTCCGGTAATCAGAGCAAATGCCTCACCAGAACTGGAACGGGATGCTGCCGTATAGCTTGCGCCGGTTGGCCGTCACTCAGGGTCGCGATCGCTCCGTGGAGGACGCAGTGGATGATGACCATCCGGCCGACCCATCGATGCGTCCAGGCTGCCGCCGACCAATCGATGCCTAGAAGATGCGCTGGAAACCCAAAGGTCCAGCCCGTCCACAACGGAATGAAATTCATGACCGCGATGTTGGCGGCGCGGCGGTGCACGGTGGCCCAGGATCGAGCCCGCAAGACCAGTGGCAGGATGTTCACCGTAAGCAGAAGCGCGACGACTGAGCCCTGTTGGACAGTGGCTATATCGAGGTGGCCGAACGGTCTCGGCAGGGGATAGGCAAGGAGTCGCCGTAATTGCATCACGTGCCATCGGATCGCCCACCGGCCACCACGGGACGCCAGACGCCATACGAGCCAACTGGCCAGAGCGATTGCGGCGCATATTCCATACCAATCAGTCTGCGATATGTGAGAAATTCGGTCGTACCAGGGAGATGTCGTTGGAGACATCCTGCAGGTCAGGGTCGATAGTCTCAGGAGTGGAGGAGTATTTGTATCCCATCGGGTGTCATCTGGACCCTCATCTAGATGCTTGCAGCAGGATGTGGGATAGGTAAACACGCTGGATAGTAATATGGGCGATTTAGCCCGCCTGACTCTATCTTCCGATCCCGACCTACAACAGGATGGCTGGTGCCGGGCAAGTGACAGGCAAGAAACTGAAGGCCTCTTAGCCAGCATGCGGGTGCGATGGTCCAGAACAAAACAACTTACCTGAATTATCAAGAGACGCTGTCACTTCTGTTGCGCTACAGTCCACGCTTATGCTACCATGCTCTGAACTTTGTCTTTACAATTTCTCGACCGGCGTTGTCCATTACCCGTAGCGACGATCTCCCCTCATCTTACTCTATCACGGGCTGAGCATCAATTCCTTCATCTAAAATGAAATCGACCATAATCAGGCTACACCATTCCTAAGAAGCATATTCCACCACGAAAGAGAGGACAGGCTCCGCAAAAATCTCTTATATCCTGCGAATGACGCATTAATCCGCTGGTGCCTTGGAGAGAACACCAACGGGGAACTATGGCTTCAGGTGTCTTCTTTTCCTTGGCTGCCGCAGGGATCGGCTGGGTGTGACCAGAGCCAAGAGCCCTCCTATCCTTCGCGGTAAAATCAATATACGGGATGCCACGTGAGCGTGCAGCCATTCTCCTTGGGCGCCTTCTGGGAGCTAGGGTGCTGCCACGAAACTTAGTCCTACGCATGCAAGGCATCGATCGGGGCATACCCGCGGATGGAGGACCGTTGGCACTCACCGGGCGGATTGAAGTTTGTATCCCCGGGAAGCTGTACAGAAAAGGACTTCCGAACGAGGACTAGCCGGGCTGAGGGCATCTCCTGTGTCCTGAGGTTGTTCGCGCTGGGAATCTTGTTTTTCGCCTCTCATGCCAGGTCTCTCGCCATCTAACTCCAGCTGCTGGTGTAGCTATGATATCGATGGTATGGACAGCCCTATCGTCGTGAAAGGAGGCGCCACCAGGAACTCCTCGTCTGAGTCAGTTAAGATCAACTCAAGCTAGGCAAAGGGAACAGGGCATTTACTTCCATCGGACTACGTAGGCTTACTGCAACGTGGTTGATGTACTTTTAGTCGGGCTAATGTAGTTTAACTGCTGCGATGGCGGGTTTTGCTCGTGCCCAATAGAGCGTGTAGCTCAGCTTAACTGACTATGCTTCCTTTGTCTATAGAGCTGTCATGTTATAGTCCACCGGGGATAAGTATGCACTCCTGAAGCAGCTCTCAGACTCCTTGACCATTGCTTGTCGCTCTACAGAGCAGGCTTTCCCAGTTCCACCTATATCCCCGATCGCACGTGAAGGATCCTACTGAAGAGTAGCATCATGCTGGAATGAAAAGATTGATGCTGTGGATATACATAATGACACCTATTGCTCGTACCACTGCGCCATATGCTAGTCCAACAAGGTCTCTGTAGACTAAAGCTCGAGGTCTCGCCAGTAGGGTTAACGCATGCTTCGGATCTCGATGCCACCGTGTCGCCCCTGCCTTTGACACAGATTGGGATCACTGAATACGTCCGCAGGTGCCCAAGGCTTTTAGGAGCAGTTCGAATACTAGGCGTAGGATGGAACAAAATTGGCAAGAGGAGATCATAACTCTGGGTAAGCTTGGGCTCTCTATCTGCCTCGCATCTTATTGCTTACCGACCACTCAAGAGCTAGAATTCTTGCATTTCCCGCATGGTACGCCTAGAGGCTTCGTGGTTTCTGACCATAAACGACATATCTAATGTCAGTCAGCGAGGTATCTTTCCCATTCGAAACAGTGCTCACTTGCATCGGCCAGTAAGCATGTATCTCAGTATTCTGTATATCCTTCTTGCACCTCATCAACAGTAGGTCGAGTTCCTCCGTTGACATCCCTAGGACTTGAGTACATAATCTTGCTGACAGTCCATGTAAACCATCCAAGGTATTGACCATATTCCAAAGGCCGAGTTCTCTGTGATGTTTGTCTTTTGGCCATCCGTTCTGCGGCCACTGGTACCTAATTTCGACCACATTTTCGAACCCGCTAACCATCATAATTTGCTTATATCGTTCGGCCAAACCACCATCTCGCCCAAGAATACGGAGTCCCTCCAATATTACCTCGTTCAGCTCTTCAAGGGCCGATCCCTTCAAAGAACCGTCGTCGGACCTAACAGGAAAGGCAAAGTCTTGTAATTCAAGCCAGCCACCCGGTGCAAGGTTGTTGTACACCTGCTGAAAGAGCCCATACACGTCACAAATTGACCCGGCCAGCATTCTTCCATGCACAAAGTCAAAATTTCGCGTGAACGTCCACGGCTGTTCGTAGTCGTCTATCTCGAATCTGCAATTTGGTGTAGCCAGTGCGGCTGAATTGGACTCAGGTCCGTGCCGGTTACCTCTGCCGATGGATGTTGGTCCGCAAAATCAATTGCCCAAATGCCAGTCCCAGTGCCAATATCAAGGACACTTCGTACATCAGACCGCAGTGGTGAGTAGTAGAGCATGCGGTTCATTGTCATCAAACAGATCTCGTGCTGCATGTCGAGCCGCTCCTGCTCCTGCTCGTCGTCAGGAATGAAATAGAAACCATCGTGGTACTTATGGTAGCGGCGTCCATTTTCCCAAATTCCCTCAATAAGGGTTGAATGTACACTCTCCGTGCCGTCAGTTGAGCCAAGATCGCCGAGTGCGGATTCGCAGTCGCTAGCTGGCAGTTCAATCGGCCCTGCCGAGAATACTTCTGCTGACATTGGTAAAGGACGTATGGATCCAGATCCGCAAATGTGTTGTGCCACGCGCCTAGTGATGTTCAATTGCGTTTTGTCTGAGTTGGCTGACTCTTGCACTCATTTGTTTGAGGCTGCAGGTCTCCTTGAACTTCGCCGAGGGAAAAAGCGGGCCTCTTTGAAGAATGACCCGCTATTTAAAATACAATACATGGACGTGCATGCAGTCAGCGAAATGAGTTATTTCTACATAGCACAGGCCATCATTATGTCGCTGTCGCCCTGGTGAAAAACTTTGAGTATGCATCTCAAGAAGCTGATTGAAGAGAAGAAAATGGTGAAATATCATGAGATCGTCTGTTGATCGCCTTCAAATGCCGTCCAAAGGCAAAGATCGCCCAATAATCACATAGCCAGCCACTGCGCGGCCTATTTGTTTCAATCAAGGTTTTCCGCCAACAAAAGAAAAATGAGATTCATCACATAGCATAGAGTAACAGTCCTAAAAAGGCAATAAGGTACATCTTCACTCACTTCACTGGGGCTACTGTGGATTGGCATGATATCAGGAAAATTTAGATGCTGACCCACGTACGCTTCCTCCCGACGAGACCTGCCCATAACCTGGGACAGCAAAGCCGGAGAATCCCATGCAGGGGTCGCATAATCTTTCGTTTCCCAAGGATTGTCCTCCTCGGGATATGGAGGTTCAGAAGAGAAATGCCCGGGCATCGAATAGAAGGTGTCACCTGATATCAGCCAACGTAATCGATGCGCGGGCATTTGACCCTGCAACGTCACCATTCTCCTTAGGGTAACCCTGAAAGATACTTGGCACAATGTCCAGTCGTTCCATGCCCTTCAAACATATATCGGTTCACCGGCTTATTACCTCCTTGCTCTTATTGCCCAGTGATGATTGTCGTCGAATTTATATCCGGAATCTTCATTGATGGATACAGCAGAAATGACTTGTGTCCTCGTACCAGCAGAGTGTGTTTTGAGGTGGAGAGCCAAGGCCCGATAGATTTCCTGTGTACCGAAGAGCAGCTTTCAGCTAGATCATAAATCTCTTTGTAACAGTTCCAATCCACTGGTCAGTGTCCCAACATTCAATGTTCACCATAGCACGCGTGAATTCCAGGTACGAGACATTGATTGGTCGCCCTTGTTGAAAGGAACCCTGCTTACCGGTCCAGCTTCTCTCCTTAGGACGCCGACAGCTTTAACTACGAGCGATAGCTAGCGGAGGAGTCTGCAAAGCTTCTGGAGTTATTTGTGCCATTTTCAAAGGGACCTTGCGCCTGCATTGGCCAAAAGTACGCTGACTCAACATCATAGATGCAGCACCCCACGCTAATGTACTAAAACCTGCTTAGCTCGCCTAGATGGAGACGTTCAGAACCCTGGCTGCGCTATTCAAGCTTTCATATTGAACGAGTCCCAGTCGGCGACACAACTGCGGGAGGGGTTTTTTTATGAAGACCAAGGAGTGCCATATCACTCTGCGGCGGAGACGCAAGTCCCGGGTCAATTTCGTATTTTCTCACGATGACCGCATTTGCTTCTCCCCAGAGTTTGATGACGGCCCCTTGTGGACACTGTGATTATTGAGAGGTTGATTATTACAAATGGTTGAAAATAGTCACTTCTTCGCTGTTTGGCCGTCTTTCGACGCGCTTTTGAAGGTATGGTTGGGTGCTTGTAATGCAGACATACTGTCGCTTAGGATAGTTGCCGGTTCCTGCTTATTCGCTGGGCTGTCTTGGTCTTCCATCCTTATCTTTAGTACGAGGCTAATGGCATAGTATATCGCCATGAGCTCCGCTGCATATACAGACCAGTGCTCCATTGAGCCAATGCAGACTTTCCGGTGTTGGTTTATGTTTTGGCTCTGATCTAGAGCTACCGCAGCAGCTCCTAGGCAGTTACGTTGGCCTGATGCATCAGAGAAGACTGTGATACCGGCTGCTTTCTGTCTGGCAGATGCTTTCTCTTTGGCTTTGTCCCGGTCTGGTTCGATGTCGATTTCTGTGAAGGCTGGCGCTTGCCATGGCGGTTGGGGTGTTGGGTCGATTGTTTCCAAGGCTTGTAGCCGAGCGGGGTCCATTGTCCGCAGGGTCTCTGCCAACGGGAACCGATGACCGCGTTTCATGTGTGTGCTGCGTATTATTGCTCGGCCCACTACCGCGTGGCATGGGTGATCCTTTGGGAGAGTGCAAAGGCGGGCAGCCACAATCTGTGCGCGTTGCTTCATTCGTAGGTGGGTTGGTAGCGTGAAAGATTCTATCTCTAGGGCTGCGGTTGACACGGTCTTAAAGGCAGAGAGGACGCGAATTAAGGCGGTTCGCTGCACGGTTCCTAGGGTCCTCAAGTGTGTCTTGTCTTTCAGTTGGTTGTGCCATACAGTGGATGTGTAATCCACGATTGGTACCACACATGCTTGATAGGGTTGTCTCATCTGCTCGGGTCGGAGGTGTCTTAGTCCCCCAAGTGCAACGTTGACCTGCGTCGCTCGCTTAACTGCTTGTTGTACATGCTCTTTCCATCGTAGCTCCTTATCAAAGATCACGCCTAGGAGCTTTGCTGTGTCGGCCGGTTTGATTGTTTTCCCATTTATAGTAATCTGTCCTACCCCATGTTGCTTTTTAGATCTTGTCAAATGTATGAGTTCCGTTTTCTCTGCCGCAAACGAAGATCCGGTCTTCCGGGCCCATGCTTCTATTCGGGGGATATCTTCTTCCTGAATCTTCCTGATATTGTCTTCTGCGGAGCGGCTCGTTCGCCATCGAAAATAGTCATCGATAAAAGCAGATGCGCCCCCTTGGTGGTCTACTGGCTGGTCCACCAGGTCTGAGTTGAAAAACCCAAACAGGATTGGAGAGAGCGGAGACCCCTGTGCAAGGCCAGCGTTCTCTAGTAGAGAGATCTCCGTCTGAAAGTCATCAAAGCAGATACTGGCGTGGCGGTTCTCCATAAAGCTGCGGATCCAGCGTCTGGCTATGATTGGGATGCCCTTGGCCTGCAGGCGGGCATCAAGGCTTAGTTTGTTGGCTCCATTGAACGCTCCTTTAAGATCAAACGCGACCAGAGTGACCACTTTTGACCGCAACCATGCTCGGTCAATCTCATTTGACAGTGTTAAAAGTGCCTGTTCCGTGTTACGTCCCGGCCGGCCCCCAAATTGCGTGTTTGGGAGCAGTTTCCAGGTCTCAGCCCAGAATGACAGTCTCCTGGCCATGACCGCCTCGAGAATCTTCCCTAGGGTGTTTAGCAGCGATATGGGTCGGTACGCTCCTGGTACTGCGTAGTCTGGCTTCCCGGGTTTTCTGAGGACTATAATGCGTGCTCGTTTCCACTGGTCGGGATAGTGGCTTAATTCCACTGATTTTGCGAAGATGGTGGTGATTATTGTCCGGAGGTATGGCCATAGGTGCTTCCAAACAAGAGTTATGATCCCATCCTCCCCCGGGGCTGTGGTTCCCTTGGCGCTCTTGAGTGATCCGTGTATCTCTAGTTCAGTAATTGGATGCCACGGTATTTCCTCTGGGGGTGGTGTAGTGTCATCTTCCTCTGGGTCTGCCATTTTCGGGAAGAAGGCTTCCAAGAATGCCTTGGCCTTGGCTTCGTTCTTAGTGACCTCCCGAGATCCCACCCTTAGTGCAGGGATGCTTGTATGGGGGTCTCGAGGGCGCATGTATGTTGCTGCTCTCCAGAGGTCACCTTCCTGGGCCTTGTCCAAGAACTCCTTCCAGTGGGCGGCTTTGACTTTCTCAATAGTTCTGGTCCATTCTCGCCGCTTTAGACGCATGTTGTTGTGGAGAGATGTGGTAATCGGGTGGCTACTTCCCAGGGTAGCACAGCTGCTCTGCCACCTCCTGCGTGCTTGATTTACCATAATCTGTTGGGATTTGAGCTCTGGAGTGAACCATCGTTTTGAGTAGGGTGATGGCTTCTGTAGTGGGACAAGTTGATCAAGAACTGTTGTTGTAGTTTCAACTAGGCGTTGAGCTTCGTAATCGAGGTCTGTGGTAAAGTGGATCTCGGGCGCTTGGCCCAGTAGCTCTAGTATCCTTGGGCCGATTTTAGTCCAGTCAGCCCTGTCGTATGCTCTCCTAGACTTTGGGCTTGCTTTGCGTTCCAGTCGCAGATCCCATTCGGAATATGTTCCACGATGGTCTGATCCGTAGTTGTCATGGTAGAGGTGGCACTTGAGAAGTTTTGCAGGGTCGTTGGTAAGTGTCAGGTCGAGGACCGATGCCTGTCCCGGAAAGCTTGGTGACCAGTACGTGGGTGTGCCTTGGGGTAGGCACCACTGGAGCTGGTATATCTGGAAAAAGTTGATCAGCTCTTCTGCTTGAGCGGTAAACGCATGGTTAACCGGGCGGTGGCTCCATGCTGGGTGGTGTCGGTTGAAGTCCCCCGCTAGGATAAGCCTTGTTGTTTTGTTGGACTCCCTAGTGTGCTTTTCAATAGTAGATCTGATCTCCTCTAATACTGCTTCAGCAGGGGTTGAATTAGCGGTTTGATGTGGATTAAGTGGTGGGATGTAGATGGAGAAAACAAGGAGTTGTATCTCTGGGGTCCATATCTTGATCGCCACCAGGTCTGGGTGATTGCAATGGATTTGGCGATGTGAGGATGTTGAGATCTTTTTGTTCACATAGATAAGGCTCCGATATCTAATGGTTCTGTCCAAGTTTGGGCATGTTGGTCGGTACAGTCGTCATGCGTTGTGGTTCACATGGGTGTGGTATGTGGTAATTGATGGTTCCTGGATTAGGAGTAGGTCAAGGCTCTGGCTTTGGCGGTCGTTGATGAGGGCTTCCATTCCTGGTCTGGATTTCCAGACGTTCAACTGTAGTAGACGTAGTGTTGAAGACATTATTGAGAGGAGCTCGGGTTTTGAGCTGTTCGGCACCTTCGATCACCAGTAGGATGATCCCCATTACAGTCCGCACACTTCGGTCCTATTCCTGGGGGGCAGTGGCGCCGATCATGCTGGCCACTACAGTGACCACATTTCACCTGTTCATTGCATGACCAGGCCAGATGGCCAAATCCCTGGCAGCGGTAACATCTCTTCTTTTCAACCTTATAGGGCTCCACACTGCCAATATATCTTTGGCCAACTAGCAGGCCTTCTTTTCTGGTCCACTCTGCTGCTTCGGGTGTGTTGAACCAGATACCCATGGATGCAGACCTTCCCAGTGGTCGGTCTTTCTTCCTTAGCCATGCGATATCCGTGATCTCGAACCCCTTCTCTTCAAGTTCATTCTCTATCATGATCTTCTCGATTCCCTGTTTCTTTTCTCTGTCGAGGTCGAAGTCTTCTGTTGGCATTCGGTGGACCACGATGCCAAACCGGGGTTTTACCAGCTTGGTTTCGTTTCCCAGCTCTTCAAGCCATGTTGTGTTGTTCCGAGCCATCTCGGCTGACTGGGCGTCTCTGAACCTACTCATGTACCCAGTTTTGGTAGTGCCGATTCCAGCCACTTGTGCGTCCTTGGTGGTGTCTGCGCTCAACAGCGCCGATCGGATCTTCGCGTTGGCCATGTCCGTGGGCAGGTACCTTTGGAGCCCGCTGTTTTCACTGTCATCATTTTCGGGTGTACGTCGAGTGCTAATTCTGACACAGTTGGGCTCTTTCCATGGTCGCTTGGTTGACTCGGTCGGGTCTTGTCGGTCCGCGTCGGTTGCTACCTCGGCCCATGTTCTCGCTGGGGTCCTGGTTGAGATCGTTTCGAGTTGTTCCCGAAGGGACTGGACCTGTTCCTGTAGTTCGACATTTTGTGTCTTAAGCACCTGCTGGTCGGCTTTAATTTCTCTGATAACGTTTGATTGGTCGTTGATGACCTCCGTCAGGTCTTCGATCAAGTGTCGGAGTTCCTGGGTGGTGACGCGTCCGTTGCTCTCCTTGGGAGCTGTGGTTTCGAAAATCTCTGTTGCATCATCTCCCAGGCTGGTTCGATTTCTGAGTCGTTTTTTCCTGCGTGTTGACTCGCTTGGTGGGAGATTTTCTATCCCTTTAAACGTGAATAGCTTCGCTACCCCTGACGCGTTTTGTTGGGGTGCGGCACCCCTTGCCGACGGAACCACCATCGGGCCGTTTTTAGCTCCCGTTCAGGGGTTCAAGCAGCAGTTCAACCACGCGTTTTGCGAATTTCTCTCGGTTTCGAATCGCCCAACCCGAGATCTTTTTGGATCGTAAGGTCGGTCCCCCTGATGCTACAGACGATCCCGAAATGTCCTTCTACCCTTCGCCTTGAAGACACCCTTTTTGAACCCTAACCTGAGGATGGCGCTAAACCAAGAATAGCAAGCGGTTACAAAAGTGGGTCTTGACGTGAAATAGACGTTTTGTATCAAACGTAAAGGTTAGAGGATTTTTGGTACTTCAATAGTCACGCTGACGAAAGACTCAGAACACCGCTTTTTTAAATAATTATATATTGGTCCAAGCCGGTCATAATGATTGGCGTTTGAACCTCAGCAGGTCGTCCTAGAATTGTCTCGAATTACAAAATAGGGATCACGGCTCCCAGGCCCTCTTTTCACAAAGAGACTAAAGAGAAAGAGAGTTGGAAGACGATCACGAGAGGACAAGAAATATAGCAAGTAGGATAGAGATGAGACAACTTAGTTTAACCACACAAACGTTAGCCGGCCCGAATCATGTCCAAGAACCACAGTATTGCCATTGATAGCCACACATGTTGCCCGATAGTCTGGTGGAAGCCAGATCAATTGCTGTCCATTGCGAGTTATCCATTTCTCACGGACAAAGATATCATTTTCTTGTCGTTTAGTGAGGGAGGTCAGAGGTTGGTAGCTTAAAGGAAGTGAGCCACGGTCAGTCTTGAGGAAGCCATTAGTTGAGAATAACAAGGTGTTTACTGCGACGTCAAGTTGATGCTTATCTGCTTCAGCGCCGGTGGCCAGATCCCAGAGCCGCACAGTATAATCACCAGACGCGGACGCGACTGTCTTCCCGTCGGGGGAGAAGGCCACCGCGCGGACCTTATCCGTGTGGCCCTGCAGCGTGCGGCGTTCAACCCCCGTGGCTGGATCCCAGAGCCGCACCGTGTGATCACCAGAGGCAGACGCGACCATCTTGCTGTCTGGTGAGAAGGCCACCGCGTGGACCCAATTCTTGTGGCCTCGCAGCATGCGGCATTCGACCCCTGTGGCTGGATCCCAAAGCCGCACCGTGCGATCACCAGAGGCGGACGCAACCATCTTCCCGTCTGGGGAGAAGGCAACCGCGCGGACTAAATCCATGTGGCCCTGCAGCCTGTGGCGTTCAACCCCCGTGGCTAGATCCCAGAGCCGGACGGTGTGGTCATAAGAGGCAGACGCAACCATCTTCCCGTCTGGGGAGAAGGCAACCGCGCGGATCCAGTTCATGTGGCCTCGCAGCATGCGGCTTTCGATTCCTGTGGCTGGATCCCAGAGTCGCAGAGTATAGTCACCGGAGGCAGACGCGACAGTCTTCCCGTCCGGAGAGAAGGCTACCATGGTGACACAATTCGTGTGGCCCTGCAGGATGCGGCGTTCGACCCCCGTGGCTGGATTCGAGAGCCGCACAGTATAATCACCCGAGGCGGACGCGACCGTCTGCCCGTCTGGTGAGAAGGCCACCGCGCGGACCTTATCCGTGTGGCCCTGCAGCGTGCGGCGTTCAACCCCCGCGACTGCATCCCAGAGCCGCACCGTGTGGTCATGAGAGGCAGACGCGACAGTCTTCCCGTCCGGAGAGAAAGCCACCATGGTGACATAATTCGTGTGGCCCTGCAGCATGCGGCGTTCGACCCCCGTGGCTGGATTCCAGAGCCGCACCATGCGATCATGAGAGGCAGACGCGACAGTCTTCCCTTCCGGAGAGAAGGCCACCGTGGTGACACAATTCGTGTGGCCTCGCAGCATGCGGCGTTCGACCCCCGTGGCTGGATTCCAGAGCCGCACCGTGCGATCATCAGAGGCAGACGCAACCGTCTTCCCGTCTGGGGAGAAGGCCACCGCGCGGACCCAATCCGTGTGGCCCTGCAGCGTGCGGCTTTCAACCCCAGTGGCTGGATTCCAGAGCCGCACCGTGCGATCATGAGAGGCGGACGCGACTGTCTTCCCGTCTAGGGAGAAGGCAACCGCGCGGACCCCCTGCGTGTGGCCCTGCAGCCTGTGGCGTTCAACCCCAGTGGCTAGATCCCAGAGCCGGACGGTGTGATCATAAGAGGCGGACGCGACCGTCTTCCCATCCAGCGAGAAGGCCATCGCGGTGATAGAATCCATGTGGCCATGCAGCGTGTGGCGTTCGACCCCCGTGGCTGGATCCCAGAGCCGCACCGTGCGATCATGAGAGGCAGACGCGACTGTCTTCCCGTCCGAGGAGAAGGCAACCGCGCGGACCCAGTTCGTGTGGCCCTGCAGCCTGTGGCGTTCAACCCCAGTGAATGAATCCCAGAGCCGCACCGTGCGATCATCAGAAGCGGACGCGACCGTCTGCCCGTCTGGTGAGAAGGCCACCGCGTTAACCGAATCCATGTGGCCTTGCAGCGTGCAGCCTTCGACACCCGTGACTGCATCCCAGAGCCGCACCGTGCGATCATCAGAGGCGGACGCGACGGTCTGCCCGTCCGGTGAAAAGGCCACCGCGGTGACGTAAGCCTTGTGGCCGTCGAATACTTGCCTGTATGGGTCCCACGCCTCTGGCATGACAAAAGCATGTTCTAGAAAATCCAACCGTTCACGCCAATAAAGCTCTCTGCTCTCACTAGCTTGTGGACAAAAGGCAAGCGCGGCGCCGTACGTTTGCAACGGCGCCTCTTGTATAATATATGCAAAGCTAGTCGCAAACCTCTCAAACTCCTTGAACGTTAACTGATGATGCTTTTTGTCAGCAGGTCGTTTAGAGCCCGACAATTTTGACATCCTCCCTCCACCAAATATTGACCATATATTCCTTTCAAATAAACTCACATTCAGGCTGACTTGCGTAGGAGATTGCTGCTACTTTTGAGTTAGATGGGCCTTCCTGAGCATTATTAAAAAACGACATACCTGCTGCTGGTGAACGAGTTTTTTGAGAGCTAAGATTCCATGCTGGACCCCACCAATTAGACTAAGGCTCTCTAGCCAGTGAAGTAGATGTTCTTTGAAAAAATCAGAAGCCACTTTATATGCTTTCGAAACGTTCTCAGAACTGGATGCCGAAGTAGCCTCAAGAAAATGGTCAAGCCAATACATGCAACTATATCGCAGGTCGATCAAGGGGTCACGGTCGGATGCGGGGTTTGCAATCTTGGACACTGAAATAGCTGGATTCTCCAGTCCGTAAATGTTGCGTCGTAGCCTAGCGGAAAGGTTCTGCAAGGATTCTTGGTATATTCTGTGATGTATTGCGAAGTGCCCCGCTGGAAAATTAGCAGCGGATCCTTTGCTATTTCTGAGATAGTCTTTGGCAGACTGATGTATCAGATAAACGTGTTCATCTCGTATTGTAAGGAAGGATCCACATATGGCAATAATATTTTCCAAATCAGCAAAGCCATGTTGTTGCTTCGGCACGCTAACCAGAAGACGCAATTCGTGCAAGTGAAGCGGTCGATATCCAAGCGTAACAACTGAGAGGACTGACATGCATGACTCGCGCTTCAGGCGCTCAAGACGTTGAATCTGCAGAAATATATGGTTGTACAATGGGGTCAAGCCTCGCGGAGCCTTTTCCAACAGCTCAATCATCTCTGACAAATGCTGGCAGTTCTGCATTTCCTGAATCACCAAGGAGACCCATAAGAATGTTCCATCTGACTTCTGACGCAGTTGTTCTTTGACCTGTTCCAAAAGGAATCCTTTCTTCTGGAGTGCTGTCAGCCGGGACACTCTGTAATTGATATATACCGCAACAGCATCAGATATATGATTCGCATTCAGCTCCAGGCTGAGCTTGTTTTTCCTATCGTGAAACTCCAGTGCCTGCTCGATATCGTCTCTATTACGACTCGAGACAACCCACTTCACTTGAACGGTTGAAGTGGACTTCATCGAGGTAATAAATTGCAGTAACTCGGGTAGACCCAACTCGCACTCATCGAGCCCATCAATCAGCAGCAGAAATATCGTGGCACTTGTTGAGCTTTGTACCATCTTGTCAAAGATCACAGATAGGCTGTAAAACGTATTGCCACTCTCAAACAGCTTTGGATTAGTGACGTAGCTTTCTCGCAGGTGTGTAATCAAATGGGGCTGTTGTTGAACCAGCATATAGATCAAACTCCGCAGGATGTTGGTAGCATTGTTCAGTCTGGGATCGGTTGCTTGGCACAGGAAGTAGGCCATTGATTGCGATGGTTGTGACTGAATTTGCTGTAATAGTTCATTGATTATCCCGATCATAAGCATAGTCTTGCCCTTGCCAGGATCGCCCTTAATCCAAAGCAACTGGCTTTGATGGTCGCTACGCCATCTCTGAAATTCAGCATTACCCAAGACCCATTGAAATGAGTCATTCAGTAGACCGCCCTTTGTGGCCTCGATGCGTCGTCGCTCGGTTTCTGGATCCGCAACCAGCAAGTCTCGGAGGCAGGCCTTGTCTTCATCTGTGAAGTCTAATCGAATTATTTACTCATCATCGGCATGCCTAAATAAGATAGTATAGCAACGTACCTGTCCTGCCACCAGCTGATTGTGTAGCAGACTTTGGAATGATCTCCGACAGCACCGCCTTCGCAAAGGCCGCTGCCATCGCCGCTGCGTAAGGCTGCCATTCTTTGTTCTTTCGCTCGTCACCATAATCGCAAACCCCGCGAATATTTCCCACTGGAATTTCATTCACCACACCCGCGGCCTCTATTTCCAACCCAATCACGTTATGTTTATTTCTCAATTCGTCCCTAGCTCGGCTGCTGTTTAGTAGCTGGTCGCCGGAGCCAATCGATCCGTACCAGACACGCGTGCGTTCAGCGTCCGGTCGGTGTTGTCGTTGAGCTGGTTGATCATCGCCGGATAAGTAAAGAAAGTCCTTTTCCTGCCCAGGGTCTGGAAACTTCGTGGCTGTCTCTGGTATTTCCCTGTAGTAGCCTAATATCACTTCTGCCTCTCGCCCATCCGCCTTGATCTTACCGATTGCGGATCCCACAATGCGTTCTGTTTGACGGAGGGAGTGTCCGTTACACAGCAACACAAAGCCGCTGCCTCCCTTTTGCTTCCCCAGCCCATAAGGTATGATTGCCGGATGATCTCCGCCCGGAGGAGAATAAGCGATAATAACATCGCCTAGCCGAATATCGCGCGTGGGCGAGCATGAGAGGTTTGGGAGGCCTGCAGCAACGCCCACAAGAAGCCCAAACCATAGGTTTGGAAAGAACTTTTTGATGTGAATTGCGAGTGATGTTGCAGAGCTTGTGCCATACCGCTGACCGGCAGCAAAAGTGGCGATCACGACATTATGCCCATGTATCTCACCGGCATGGAACAAATAGTCATCGCCAGGGCCGACAGGAAATCCTCCCGAATGCACCTTATCCAGCATATGTTTGGCAGCCTGTACTTCAATCTCAAGTGGAGCGATCCACGCGACGGTATAGAGGTTCGGGTCGAGGGTGGGCATTGTGGGCTCGGCTTGGCGGTGAGCTGGCGGTTCACTGGACGGTGATCTCGAGGAGCGGGGCTATAAAGTGAGGAATGTGAAGCGGCAGTGCTTGTGTCGAGGTACAGTAGATGCTTTTAGCCAGCTGCGAGTTGCAAGTGGTTTGTAGATCGAGAACTCATTATGAGCTTAGAATATTGAACAGAGAGAATCGGAAGGCTGCCCAACATTCAGTCACATTGGCATTCGCTAGGCACAGGCCCCTTAGCTGCTGCCGCGCTATACAACACATGTCACTCACAGAAGGCCAGCGACCGTTCTGCCATCTGCTGGCCATGGACAAATTTGGCGGGGTTTCAGTGCATGAGCCGGTGTGGAGCCACTCTGCAAATGCCGCTTTGAAGGGGTGAGAACAAGGCTCATGAGATTCAATCGAGGCCCATAACCTGAAGTGGGGTAACAGTCGCAAGGAAAAATAACGGTCCGATGCCCTCCTTTTTTTGACTGGTTCGCCCGTCCCCTTTCTCGAATTTTCGGTGCAAACACACCAAACATTGCCACTGGCTTCTGAACTGGAGATCTGTCAACATCTTGACTTCTCCTGCATCTCACGAGCCGCTGCTGCAGACGGTACCTGAGGCTCTTCCAATCCGACAGAATCATTGGCAATTCGCGGTGCCCTTCTTTCGCTGTATAAAATCCTTCCTGCTTCTGATAATGCTTAGCCTCGTGTTGCTAGCCGCCTTGTCAGGCGTCAATAGGCTCAATGCTGACGTCTCCATCCAAAGAATTCTAGGTTGTAGTGCCTGCATCTCTCGACGATGTCGGATAGCCTTTTTATCTACGATGCCTCTCAGCCCGAAGAACCATGGGACAACGATTCTCGGTACGCCCCCACCCCAGGGAATTTCGGTCGTTCCACCGGATACTCCCTTAGCCCCTCCCCACATCGTACCTTGCCACAACCGCCGCAGGATCGACTCGGAGTTCTCCCATTGGCTGAGTGGGAGAGAGGCGAATATGATCAGCAGCCACCCAGATATGTTTGCTACACGATCAAGTGGAAACTGCTGCTCAATAATAAGCCGGTGGGTAATGTGACCGAGAAAGACCTGGTCGTAGCTGCTCCCAGTCAGTATTGGGAGAGGTATCTGCAAGCAGATCTTGACAATATGGTGCAAACGAAAAGAAAGCCCAACCAACGGGTTCGACCTGAGAGTACGACCATCAAGGTTGAGGTCAATGATCGAAAGCAGTGTCCGCTGGAACAGTTTGACAACGGCACCAAGATCAAATGGACGCCCGTGGAGAAACAACTATGTAAATGGAGCAACATGCTTCGTATTGCGAAAAAGCTTACTGTCAGTATTGCCTTTAGCTATAGGCAGGATGATAAAGGGTCTGCCCCGACCAAGAAAGGCGACAAAAGGGGCCGTGTTTCTGCCACAAATATAATGTTTGCTGAGCGTGTCGCATACATTGCTGAAGATGAGGAGAGAACTGGTCGACCCTCTGCGTGGAACTCTGTATATGAGCTCATGCAATGTAATGTCCGGTCATGCCAGCTGAACTCTGACTGGTGCTGGGAAGACCCAAAGAACAGCAAACACTACAAGCTCAGAGAGCCGCACATTGATCGGCTGGTTGATGATGTTGAGAAGGGTGGCAAACTTGAGAGTCACGGTGATGTCCCCCGAGACATTCGTCGAGACCTGATTCTGGAGAGTCAGACAGGGAGAAAATCTAAAAAGGATATCTCGCTTGCTAGCGGATCCCCCTACCACCCAGTCAGCATTAATGTGCTACCTGCCCAGGCATCAACGGCCTCCATGATATCACCATCACCACCCAGATCCTCATCTCCCCGCGTGGACATCCAAGGAGACCAAGTAGCGGCAGTGAAAGATTATTGCAAATGGCTGGAGTCGCGGTACGGTGATGAGGCATACAAAGCTGATTTTCGAAAAGCCCGTGATGTGGTGCTTAAGAGGCGGATGGACCTTGAGCTTATCCTCGAGAATTCCAATACAGGCTTCTTCACTGATGAAGACATTGAAATAGGGACTGCTCTTCGGTTTATCCGCGATATTCAGTAGTGGAATAAACATGTGAAATCTAGATCGCCGTCCCAGGGAATGGTTGCGGGACATTCTGACGATGATTATCTACAGAACCAAAGCATGTCTGATGAGTGACAGGTGAGTGCCGTGATCTTGTAAGCTCGCCACAGTGTCTTAATGCCTACAGCAGACTTTAGTGAACGAATTAGCATGAGTCATGCCGGTTAACCTACTGGGTATCAAATAACCAAGTCACGACTCGAAGAATTGCTCATCTACCCTGCCTCTGGCGGCTGCCCATGTGGGCCTATTCTTGCGTGGAAATCAAGCGGCGTAAATCTAGAATCGGTATATAATTTATCTATTGTTCAGGGTTTTGTTCTTTATCACAATATATATTTATCAGCCAACATATCCAAATCCACCACCACAAGAGGGCTCGTAAACTGCAAAGTTTGTCACCATTAGGCTTCATGGATAGGTTGCAATCACTAAGAATGGGATCAATTCCTTTACGCTGATGCTAGAATAACCTTGCTTCAGCAACTAGTCTCGCAAGTAACGTGGCCTAAAAATAGGCTGGCTTACCTAACGTTATGCCCGCGTGTCGAAAGTGGCCCTCAGCACTCTTCTCTCGCTCACCAACAATCTGGACACATTTTCGGAGGAAGGAATGAAAGCCTTGACCAGGATTTTCCGCGAATGTTGACCAAGTTTTCTTGATATATGCCTTCAGCTCGGCAAAAAACTCCTCAATAGGATAGAAACCTGGCGAGTAAGGTGGTAGATAGAGTAATTTGACTCCTGCATCAGAACACGGCTGTTGGACGCGCTCTGAGCGATGGAAGGATGCATTATCCATGACTATCACGGATCTTGGCTCTGGAAATCTCCGACAATGCCGAAGAAGCCGCTGGATGAAGCTTTCGAAGACCGTACCATCAGTTGAACCTTGATAGATGTCTGAGATTACAATTCCATCTTGAGCATAGGCTGGAAGTATATGGTAACGTTGACCACGGTGAAATTGAGAAATTTGGACTGGGGTCACCCCGAGTGGAGACCAACCAGTGCGACGGAAGCCAACCCGTTTATCACATCCGGATTCATCAACGAAAACAAGCTGATCGGACCGGTAATTTGACAGTTTATGCTGATAGAAAGCTCTTAGTTGAGGGTTCTGTTCTTTTGCTTTCTGTCGCGCCTGCTTTTTCGTCCAACCATGCCGGGAAAGGGCTCTTTGAATGCTTGACGTTGAAGGGAGAACACTGAATTCGTCCCATAGAAAGACTGCCATTTCTTCAATATAGAGGCCTGGCTTTTCAACAAGATGATCACATAACGCCTCGAGCATGAGAGGGGTGATGCTTGGTGGCCGGCCAGCGCGGACAAGGTGAGGTCTGGCGGTGCCGTACAGTCGCAACTTTCTGCGGAGCTCGGTAATAGTCCTCTCGCTACATTTGGCAATCTGAGCAGTTTGTGAGTTACTTAGCCGTTTGCTACGTATCATATGGACAGCCATCCTGTGCTGTCTAGAGTCCAGGTGTCGCGCCATCTCGTTGGTTGGCCGTAGGGTGAAAAGCACACGTTGGCCTCCGGAATCAAGAGGAAGTATATCAATACAATATAAATAATGTATTTAACATTTGAGGGGGTGGCAGAAAATCTAGGCGGAGCGTATTCTTGGCCGTCATGGTATGGTTTGGCTACTTTTGGTTTCCGTCAGTCATGGTACCATTCACGGTAGAGGCGTGCCGGAAATATAGGCTAACCGCTTCTGATAAACTAGGGCTTCGGAATTAGGGTTTGAAAACAAGCTCAGTCTATCCAAGACCTAGAAGGACATTCTGGGAGTCGAGTCCGCCAGGGACTGTATAGTGAGGGACCCTAAACATGCCACCAAAGAGAACCAAAAAAGAAGATAACCACGCGACTCCCTCATTTCCTCGCTCCAACCCTTTCTCCATCCTCGACCCAGTCCCGCAGTCCCGAACCGAACCATGGACGCGTCCTCCATCCCCACGCGTCGCAACGCGTCCGTCAACACCCCAAGAGCTTCAGGATATCGTACTCGAAATTCCTTCGGAACTTGCTACTATCCAATCGAGACTAAAAACTTTCCAACAATGGCCACTCACACAAATTACTCCTCGACAGCTGGCAAGGCTAGGCTTCTGGCATGCTCCATCAAGCAGAGACCACGACAATGTGAGCTGCTTCGTGTGTAGCGTTTCAATACAGGGATGGCGCGATGTGCCACATTCAACAGCAGAGCTTCTTGCACTGCATGATGATTACTGTATATAAGCGGATCTCCTGGAGGACGTGGAGGCCTTCCCTAGCCCTCCTGATAAACGGGCTGGAGAACACACCACAACATCAATGATGGCAACCAAAACATCAGACCTAATCAGCTCCCCAACAATTCAACCACGACAACCAACAACCAATTCGCAAGAACCGCCACTACCCCAAGGACCACCGCAGCCCCAAGAACCGTCGCATCCGCAAGAACCATCAACCCCAGCTTCCAGCCCCAGGAAATCATACGCCTCAGTCCTGAGAGACCCACCAGAAAGACTACCACGACCAGCAACCAAACCCAACTCCGCCTCTCGATCACCTAGGCCAGCCGCACCAGAAACGCCAACGGCTACAGCGTATCGCTACCCATACACCCACTGCCCAACTCGAAGCCTAACTCAAAGTCCGACCCTTACCATAGACGATCTATACAACCACTTCCACAACAAGCCCTCCCCATTTACATTAACCGACACTAACCACCGCTGCTCGGCCATACCACAACGCAAGCAAGTCACAGCTGCAACAAACGCACTATCGAAATTTCTGCTCTCTGCCCTTCCAGCATTCACAGGATTTCTGTCTGATATTCAGAATGGAGGATACAATCATCACCTGCCACATACACAGAAAGTCTCGAGAGGAGGGCGAGGATATTCTCATCCAAAATTCAGCAAGAGACAGTGGTCCACGTCCTGGCGGCCTGCCTTAGACTAAGAAGCGCGCCAGGAGATATAGAGATAGGGAAAGTCTTTAAGCGTTTTCAGCAATTTTATAAGGAGAAAAAGGTGGGAAGGGTAAGTTAGACAACACAACACGGGGTAGTGGAGTACCCCAGCCTTTTTACAGGTCAAAGTGGAATCAATCACAGGCCTATCAGGCGAGGCTCCAAATTCGCCCTCAGGAAACTTTGAACACCCAAATGATTACGCAAACATGTATTTGGAATAGTTATTACCTGCATATCGCTTAGGCGAGGGGTCAGCGTATGAATACTACTACTACTACTACTACTACTACTACTACTACTACTACTACTACTACTACTACTACTGTATCAGTCCGTGGTCCAGCATCAGGGTAGCATCACACAGGACGGTCGATTTTTCAATTAGATCGAGAGATTGGAGTCGGATTCTATTCGGAGAACGACTGTACCGAGTGAATACAATTTCGAACGCTGAATATCGAATCCGTGGCTGTGGTTGTGTGCCGAGCGGGACGGCCCGATGGTGACCCCACAAACCCCTGAAAACTTTGCACGGGATGCACGGGATGAAGTTATCCCAACAATCCCACCAGAACGCAGAACCCGGGGAAGAAAGGCCGGAGTAGAACATATACAAGCCCTAGTGGTCGAGTTTCCATCTCTAAGCGACGGTAAGAAGGTCATGAACCAGGTGATTGGAGGCCTTATCGACAGCCTAAGGACTATCATCGGCCAACAAACCAGTACAATCCAGGCAGCTCGAGTAGAGATACGAGAGATCAGAACAGAACAACAGGCGCTAAAAGATCGAACACAAAGCTACAGGAAGAGATTCAAGCACTCCGCGAACAGATTGAGAACCAGGTAGCTAATCCCCTCCCAAAGTCATGGGCAGAAATTACGGCAGGCAACAACCCCTAAAACACCAATACAATAGGCCCACGACCCCAGAAGGAATTGAACTGCGTCAGGATCAGCACGGCGCGACCAGTGGAGATTAGCGACGGTGATAATAATAACAACTTCACGAGGTTCCTATCAACGGACGCTGCCAATGAATATATCAGAACTGCCTTATCAAACTCGGAACCGACCAAAGATGTCCAGGTAGCAGGAGTTGGCACAACAAAAACTGGATATGTGATCAGATTCAGAGACGCACAGTCGGCCGAGAAGGCTCGCAATAATACTGCATGGCTGGAGGAACTAGGCAACGAAACCAAGCTGGTTAAGCCCCAATTCGGCATTGTGGTCCACCGAGTACCAACAGAAGACTTTGATCTAGACAGAGAGAAGAACCAGGGAATTGCGAAGATCCTAGAAGAGAATAGCCTCACTGAAAAGGGGTTTCAAATTGAGGATATCGCGTGGCTGAAGAAGAAGGATAGGCCCTTGGGAAGGTCTGCAACGATGGGAATCTGGTTGAATACACCTGATGCAGCAGATTCAATCATCAATAATGGCCTTTTAGTAGGTCAGAGAGATATTAGCAACGTGGAGGCCTACAGAGTTGAACTGAAGAGATGCCACCACTGCCAGAAATTCGGACACCTAGCGTGGTCATGCAAAGAACAGGTGAAATGTGGCCACTGCAGTGGGCAACATGATCAGCGTCACTGTCTGCCAGGGGTGAGACCCCGGTGCTCAGACTGCAATGGAGAACACCCGACAGGGGACTGGAGGTGTCAGACACCTCTAAACCCGAATTCTTCGCAATAATACTATCAAACCTACGTCTACTACAATTGAACATTTGGAAATCTAGGGCAGGGATGGAAGCCCTTATGAACGACCACTAAAGCCAAAGACTTGATATACTATCAATCCAAGAACCGTCAATCACCGCCTACCGCACCCACGTCAACCACAGTGCATGGCGACTCTACCGACCAACATACCCAGATTCGGATGAATCTATCCAATTTCACAGCCTTCTCTACGTGAACAAGAGAATCTCAACCTCATCACACCGCCAGATCCACTGCAACCACCCGGATCTAGTGGCTATCAAGCTATGGACACCGGAAACATAATACCTTATATTCTTAGTCTACATCCCGCCATTGGATGTGTACCAAGAAGTCCATACTACCTCAGCTGAGCCTGTGCTAGACGAGATCCAAGACTGCATCCAACAATACTCTTAAATAACAGGCAGAACCACAAAACTTATCCTAATAGGTGATTTTAATCGACACCACCCAGCATGGAGCCATCGCCTGGTGAATAATACTTTTACTGCCCAAGCAGAAGAGCTAGTCAACTTTTTCTAAATATATAGGTTACAATGGTGCCTACCACGGGGCATACCGACATATTGGTTACTAAGCCACCCAGGAAAAGCATCCGTGCTTGACTTGACACTCACTAATGACCCTCTCATACTTGTCAAATGCCAACTGTACCATGATAACTACGGGTCAGATCACCGTGGAACATACTCTGAATGGGACCTACAACCAAAGCGCAACGAAAACCCGAAGCTTAAAAGAGCATATGATCGAGCAGACTGGGCTAAAATTGGCCCAGACTTGCTTCAGAAGCTCGGTCAAACCCCTGAGATCTGCTCTGCCATGGACCTCAACCAGCAGGTCAGCCGGCTAGTCAAATTTACAACAAAAGCCCTTGATCAACATGTCCCCCTACAGAAGCCATTACCATACTCTAAACGATGGTTCACTCCAGAACTCAAATCCCAGCAGATTATTGTGAATCAAATACGAAGGAGATGGCAGAGCAGCTGTGCTACAGTGGGTGCTAAGCACCTAACCATAATATCTCTCTCCCAGAGCATGCACCAGAAACGCCGGGAATGGACCAGAACCATTAAAAAGGCGAAAGCCACCCACTAGAAGGAGTTCCTTGACAAGACACAGGAAGGCCACCTTTGGAAAACCGCAACATATATGCGCCCGCGAGACCCCTATACAAACATCCCTACATTGATAGTAGGGACAGAAGAGGTCTCTGATAACAAGGAGAAAGCCAGAGCCTTCTTAGAAGCCTTCTTCCCTAGAATGGCAGATGCTAAAGAAGAAGAGACCGTGACCCCCTGGGAAGAAATTACATGGGAACTAATTACTGAACTAGAGATCTACCAATCACTTAAGGCTGCTAGAGGCAAAACTGCCCCTGGAGAGGATGGGATTATAACCCTAGTCTGGAAGCACCTATGGCCATATCTTCGGAAAACAATCACCTACATCTTTACGAAATCTGTGGAGTTAGGCCACTACCCCAACCAGTGGAAGCGAGCTCGTATTATAGTGCTGAGGAAACCTGGTAAACTAGACTACATAGTACCTGGAGCATACCGACCTATATCACTACTTAATACACTGGGAAAGATACTAGAGGTAGTTATAGCTCGCAGGCTGTCATTCTGGGCTGAAACTCACAAGCTACTCCCAGACACGCAATTTGGAGGCAGACCAGGACGCAACACAGAACAGGCACTCTTAGTACTTGCGAATGCCATTGACCGAGTATGGCTAAGATCTAAAGTGGTGACTCTTATCGCATTTGACCTTAAAGGGGCTTTCAACGGGGTGAATAGGGTCAGCCTTGATTCCCGACTGCAGTCAAAAGGCATCCCGACAATAGTTAGGCGATGGATCTATAGTTTCATGGAGGACCACTATGTAAGTATTTCCTTTGATGACTTCCAGACGGAAGTCTCGCCACTGGCGAACGCTGGCCTTGCACAGGGATCTCCACTATCCCCAATCCTATTTGGATTCTTTAACTCGGATTTAGTGGACCAACCACTTGACTACTATGGAGGGTCATCTGCCTACATCGATGACCACTTCCGGTGGCGAACGGGCCGCTCAGCAGAGGATAATATTAAAAAGATCCAGGGAGAGGATATTCCCCGCATAGAGGGATGGGCCCGTAGAACTGGATCTTTATTTGCTATAGAGAAAACTGAACTGATACACCTAACAAGGTCTAAAGGCCAACACGGAATCGGGGAGATTTCAATGAATGGGAAGATGATCAAGCCAGCCGACACGGTAAAGCTCCTGGGTGTTATTTTTGATAAAGAGATGCGATGGAAGGAACACGTACAATAAGCGGTTAAATGAGTAACTAAAGTCAATATCGCACTTGGGGGACTGAGACACCTCCGCCCCGAGCAAATGAGGCAGCTCTACCAGGCCTGTGTGACACCAATAGTGGACTACGCATCGGCAGTCTGGCACAACCCACTAAAAAATAAGACACACCTGAGAACACTAGGAACAGTACAACAAACTGCCCTAATTCGCATTCTATCTGCCTTCAAGACTGTATCAACCACAGCTCTAGAGGTCGAATCCTTCATACTACCAACCCATTTACGACTTAAACAACGCTCGCAGCTAGTCGCGGCCCGCCTCAGCACGCTGCCAAAGGATCACCCAGGCCATGGAGTAATAGAACGTGCAAGGATACGCAGCAACCACATAAAGACCAGGTCCCATTTCCCCCTGGCAGAGGCCCTGAAGACAATGGACCTAGCCCGACTGCAAGCCCTGGAAACAATCGACCCGAGGCCTCAACCACCGTGGCAAGCGCCAGCATTCTCCGAAATTGAAATTGAACCAGATCACGATCAAGCTAAAGAAAATGCCCTGACTAGGCTAAAATCAGCAGGTATTACGGTCTTCTCTAATACATCAGGCCAACACAATCAACTAGGGGCTGCAGCGGTAGCCCTAGACCACAACCTGGATGTCATAAAATCGCGGAAAATCAGCATTGGGTCGATGGAATTTTGGTCAGTATATGCAGCTAAACTAATGGCGATCTACTATGCTATTAGTCTGGTGTATCAACTGGCGAGGATGAACCAAGACATCCCAACCGCACAACGTGAACCTGCAACTATTCTTAGTGACAGCATGTCAGCACTGCAAGCTATCTCAAACGCTTGGAACAAGTCAGGCCAGAGGATTATTGCAGCAATCCGGCAATCAGCTAGGGAGCTGAAAGCGCGAGGAATCCCACTCCGCCTCCAATGGGTCCCAGGACACTGCGGGGACCCAGGCAATGAGGCTGCCGATCAACTAGCAAAGAAGGCAGTTGGCCTGAATAAGGAACACCCCTTTCAACACCTTCTCTCCCGGGAGAAGGGATTCATCCACAACAAAATACAAAAAGAATGGGAGCAAGAATGGAGGACCTCTAAGAAAGGCAGCCACCTCCACCGGATTAACAAGGATCTACCCTCAATACGTACCCGAAGGATGTATGGCTCGCTACCCCGGAATCGGGCCTACTTACTCACCCAACTTCGGACTGGCCACTCATGGCTCGCAACTCATGGCAAACTACACAAATTCAGGGAAGATAACAAGTGCGAATGTGGAGCAATAGAGACAGTAGCGCATGTACTGATAGACTGCCCAAAACTCAAAGATCTACGAAAAAAACTACGGAGGAAGATTGGGACTGCATTTAACAATATGTCATTAATGCTGGGAGGCGGATCACAAGGTAAGAAAGGTAGGCAGGATGATATGCAAGATAGTAGCGTCCTAGGCGCAATACTAGACTTCGCAGAGGCATCGAAGAGGTTTCAAAGCCGCGGGCCACAGGGCCGCTGAACAGAACACTAGGCATTCGGCCACCACAGGCTGTGACGAGGCTCTAAAATCGCTGAAAGCAATGGTCCATGTACATAGACATAGATAAGGATTAGATAGTGGTATCCTGCATATCGCTTCGGCGAGGGGTCAGGGTATGAATTCATCATCATCATCATCATCATCATCATCATCATCGTCTGTACAGCACATGATTCATGATGACCATCAGATGCATCAGGCACAGACTGGGCCTCCAACTACCCACCAACCTGCAGCGTTCCGGAAGACCAGCCAGATGCAACAGAGCGCCGAGCACGTTTAAGCAGCGAGTCGTACGAGCCCGAAGGCCAACGACGATGAGCCAGCAGCGCGGTATAGCAAAATATATGTTGCCGGCATCAAGGCCAGCAATCTGAGCCAAAAACAGAGACGTCGAAAAGCCCTGGCACTGTCGGGACCATCCATGGTGATGATCTCTGCCATCCGTTGGGCCATCGCGACGGTCAGGCACAATAGGCATACCGAGCGGGCTTAGATATGGATGGCGCTTGGTAGTACCACGACCGGAATGGCCGAGGTATATATCAGAAGGAGGGTGCCGGCGAACTCGAGCTTCTGCCGCGATATGGTGTCGTTCCCGTAGATGATGCAAATCAACCGATAGACTAGACTGCATAAAGACCACAAGATCGCCCCTCCACAGTAGAAAATAACCCCTCGATTACGACTGATAGCATCAGCCTGCGCCGGATATCGAAAGATGAGGAAAGAGGTGAGGAAGAGCGCAAAGTAGGAGAAGCCGAAGAGACGGAGACAAACGAGGATCACGCCATCTCGACGAAAGGATAGTGTGGACTCCATGTTGGTACTGTAACTCGGAATGCGAAGCCAAGGAATGCTGGATGTCCCCAGAGAC